TTTTTTCTATGGGGTCACATCAAAAATATGGTATATCAAACTCCTCCGACTACTGCAGAAGATATGAAAGACCGAATAGTAAATGCGTTTAGGAACTCGTCCTCGAATTTGGACGTCCAAATGACCAGCTATCTGACGTCTTCTGGCCGAATCTCATGTCGTCGTTTAGACGTCCATAAGGCGTAGTGTGCTACCTGGGCAGTTGAAATTCGATTTTCTTGTGTTAATATCTTCGAGAAATTAACGAAAAAAACTCAATATTTTTCTCGTACTCTATAAGTGAGCCCCTACTACCCCTTAAAAGGAATGACGCCAATTTTGAATCGTCCTGTTTAATGTTTTTAATACTTTTTTGTGTAGATAGTGTTTGGATATTATACGTTGCTCACAACCAAAATAATGTGATAAAATATAATACCACAATATCAAAATAATACCTTTTAAATAATGAAGTTGAGGAGTTAAAATATTACATTTATCCGTTTGTTTCTTTTTTACTCGGCAATCCTTCCGTATTAAAGTCGCCATTCTTACATGATGTATATTTTCAAGGCAAATTTTCCTTGTTACGTTCTTTAAATTACTCCGAAGTCAAACTATGGAACTGAATTGAAACGGAATATATGGAATATAATTTTTGTTTAAATGTTATTATTAATTTAATTTATTTCATGCTAATTGAGATAGTCTGCTTCTGATTTATGCCTTTAAGTTTATTTGATATTACGCTCACACACTTGACTTTACCAACTGACCGTGTCCAGTTTAATTTTCATTGTTGTTTCTGCAGACCCTATGATTAATGTTTTTTGTGACAAATGCGATAAATTTCTTTAATGAACCGATTTTTCCAGCTTTCATTAAATATTTATAGGGAAAAAGTATCAAAGACCTTGGGATCAAAGAAAATTGCGGTTTAATTTGTTTCGCTTACGATAAAGTTTAATGGCACCATCCGTCTCTCCAAGTGAATTTTTGGCGATACACTTGTAGGTTCCAAAATCAGATATGCTTACATTCTTAATCGTAAGCTTCATAAAAACTTTGTAAGTATTGTCTACAAACGTTGGCTCGTATTTTGTTCCTGAAACAAAGAAAATTATTGAGTAAGTTAACTTCTGAAACTCTTCCATGAAACGTACAGAATAGCTCACGTTACTGCCATCAATATCGGTATTCGTATTTGTAAAACAAGTACACTTTTGACATAATAAGAGTCATGAGAGTTTGCGATGTCAATACGTACATATTTGAAGGCATCCCCTGGATCGTTTACTGGCCTACCAGCTATCATCCGCTGTATTTAATATGAAAACAACACTCCCAAAAACCGTACATTGTTTTTACATTTCATTGTTGTGCTGTTGTGTTATGCATCCATTGCAGCGGAGATTTTACACCAAAACCTGGTAAAATAGACTACACCAAACCCAAATCATTCAGACCCATAAGTTGAACGTCTTTTCTCATGAAGACAGGGGAAAAAATTATAGACAGGTATCTGACAGTGGAAGTCCCCATGAGGACTCCGCTGCACAGTAACCAGCACGCATACAGGAAGCTGAACAGGGATTATAAGATAAGGAAGTGACACTAGCCCTCTTTTCTATGTAGAGGGGGTTTTTGATAAAGTCAGAACAAGCAACATCTGCAATGCTCTCAAATCAAAAGGAGCTTCCGACTCAATAACAAACTGGGTCCGGAGTGCGATAGCGAGCCAGTGCAGGCCAGCGCCTGCCTGGGTGGAGACCGGTTGGAAATCGGGGTGCGGGGGGCTGTCCATAGGGCAGCTGCTTTTCGCCTCGCCTGTGGTGTCTGATTATGGCTCCTGCGGCGGATAGACCAGGAGGGCTTCTACACGCAGTTTCTGGACGTTGTCTGGGAGAGAATGCAAGTTGCGTGTAGGACAATAGAGAGATGGTGCACTGATGCTGGATTATCAGTTAATCCCGGCAAAACGAAGACCATGCTCTTTACAAGGAGCAGACAATTAAGGGTCTCTAGGGCCCGAACGCTGTACGGAAAGCCTCTTACCCCCGCGGTAAAGTCAAGTACTTGGGCGTGCCCTTAGACAGTAAACTCACTTGGAACCCTCACGTAGAGAATGTTATACAGAAGGCTACCGTTACTATGGAATCTGCGCCGAGCACTGGCAAAAAAATGGGGCTTGAAGCCACACGTTATGAAGTGGTTGTACACTGCCGTCATAAGACCGAGGATCTGTTATGGCTCCGCGATCTGGTGTCCGGCGGTGGAGAAGGCCTTTGTATCCCGGAAACTATCGGGTCTGCAAAAACTGACCTGTTTACCGATGACTAGAGCAATAAGGACGACACCGAGTTCAGCATTGAATATCCTTCTAGGCCTCCCAGAAATGGTGAAAAGGGCCTTAAAGGCCTACTCGCCGGACCCAATAGGGTCCCCCCGATAGAACAACTACTACTAGTGTTTCAGTAAAAAAGTGCATTTTGAGACTTATAAAGTCGAGTCACTTCAAATTTGTCTGAATCGTGCAAACTTTTCAATTTTTTTTAATACATTTATTCTATAATTACTCGTTGGAATTTTTCAGTTGTTTGAACGTAGCTACAGAATATTCCTTAGTAAGAAAATTATATTTACCTTGAGATATAATTCTGCCATCAAATTTTGTCCAATAGTTTATTGACTTTGGAAACGCCTCCGAATGACATTCCAGAGACTCTTGATGTCCTTCCACAGCCCCTACCAACTGATTTTGAATCCATATCATTGGTGCAACTAAAATGAAGTTAACCATATATACAGCGTGCTCCAAAATTCAATTAATAAGATTGTCAGGTGTAACGTTTTTTTTATAGGCCGGATATATTGATAGAATTAATAGGAGCACACTCTACTAAGCACTGATCGAAACGACTGCCTGGTCCAACATTTCGCATTCCAGCTTTCCTTTAACCAAGCATTTACTGTTAATGCATAGGACGAACGACGGCAGGTCTACCCGCGTCCAAGATTGGTTGTAGTCAAATGGCTCTTTACCCGTAGTACTCCGATGCTCCGAATTGCTGTTTGCAAATGGCTCTACCCCAGAAATGTTTATTGATATTTGAAAAAGCTACTTGCCCTTCATCGCTCGCTCGCGGTGAGCGTCTTATTTGCTCTACATTACTGGTGTCATTTTCTGTAGGTTAAATTTCATAATCCTCAAGCAAATGATCAGAATTGCCGGAGTTTGGTCTCCCTGAATCGTGCTCAACTCTAGTAGAAGTAGTAATAGTTGGGAGACCTAACAGGTGTGGCGTAGAAAGGCCCCTTTCGCCATTCGCCCTCCAAGAAATGTTTCTTTATCGGCTGCCGCACGAAATAGTTTTTGCGCCGAAAAGCAACACCATTGTCTGATATTGCGTAGCCAGGACAGCTTTTTTTGGCCCTATCCACCTTTTCCTTCCACGTTTCCTTGTATTATGAGGCGCAGTAGCTGGTATTTTGATCATTTGATTATGTGTTCAAAGTAGTCCGTCTTTTCTCCTCTTTATAGTGTACAGCAGTCGCCGTTCTGTGTCCATCATTGTTTGTGTGCGCCTCAAGACTGCTCCTCTTTTTTTTCTTGTAGCTGTAGATACATGTTCAATCTAGAGTGACCGGTCATGATTCCAACAAGAGCTCTTCTCATCGCCAAGAAACTCCTTGACATCAACCACTTGAATGCTGTCTTGTCATCACGGCCTTCCACATACCCTTCCACCTTTCCGTTCGTCTCTGCGGTACCTCTAGGACCCCAGTCAAATAATCTTTGTCTTCCAAGAAAGTGCTCTAAATAGTGCTTCCTGTGTGTTTCTTAATCCTATGTAAGGTTCGGAAGTTCTTGAGCTCTCAGAAGATCTGGGGCGGGACACTGATGGGCTCGCGCTTTATTCCACCCTTCTTCGAGCAGTCACTGTCCTAGTCTCCCAGCTTTTCGTTGGGATTTTCACCTTAAACTTATTTTCCAACCATGAGTCCCATGTCAACTGGGACCACCCTAATACGCAAGATTGGAATGTCGCCATACATGCTTGCTCCTAACGTATGTGGTTCCCACGCCTTGTACAGCCGCATTCCATTCTCTGTAGCGCCGCAACGGCGACCCTACGTATCCAGAGGGTTAACTCAGAGAAGACCAGCATTTTGGTAGCAGTTTGGTGTTATCCTTATAGGGCGGTTATCGCTGGACCGGCCAGTCTCTGCAGACCTGCTAGTTTCCGGGATATCAAGGCTTTCGCCGCCGCCGGCCAACTACAACATGGGACCAAAACAGATCCTCGGTCTAATAATGGCAGTGTATAACCGCCTCGGAGTCTGTGGTTTTTGGGCCCAGTTATGGCGCAGAGTCCGGCGCAGATGCCTCATACTGTCAGTAGCCTTTTGTATAAATTACTCTACTTGAGAGTTCCACGTGAGTTTGTGCTCAGCTTCATGTGACAAGATCTCCAATTTAACTATTGGCTTTATATATTGCAGCCCGACTGTATCTGGAATGAATACAAAATCTGAAAATAATGTTATAATGAATGTCCGAATGTCCGAATAAGAATGTCCGAATATTTTAAGGGTTACAGATACAAACTCAAAAATAGTTGAAGATCAATGCAGAACATTTATATGGAATGGGCCTTAAATTTTACAAATAGCTTGAGTATGTAATAAAAAGTACAGCATTCCATTTAGAAAAAGATAGGTTTGTTCCGGCACTTGAATTTGAGACACCCTATATCAATTCGCACTATCTCAAAATAATCTACAACTTTTGTATTTAACATTTTTCTCTAATTTTCAAATCCGATGTTAAAACGGGATGGCCAACGTTCAAACAATAACCCTGTACATTTCCCCTAAACATTTAACCCGATTAAATGTTTTGTTTCCAGTTTCAATTCCACCAATTTTACTGGATTTTACATTATCTACAGTCGTTATTTGTCGACATATGCATTGTGTACGCTAGCAGCCGAATAGACCTAACCATTCTCATCCCTGAACTTGCGTTCCAAAAAAAACCGCAGTAAAAACGTTTAATACTTTCTTCGAACTCCATATTTTCTCTTTTTTATGGCTGTTTCTTGCATAATGATCTTTCTCTTTACATTTGTATCAAGGACTTTACTTTCACACGTTGTTGCTGTCGTTAGGTGAATAGAGTTAACATACTTTTAACTTATACTCGTTAAATTTGGCTCGGCTATTCCTTGAAAATTGTTGTTAACACCCATTTCCGGATCGTTCCTACAATGTAGGTAAGCTATAAAAGTTCGAACAGTTTTGCGTGCAACGCCTATTAGTCATAGTTCTCTCGGCTCACTCAAATGTAGCTACACTCGACACATAAATCACCTCCCCACTACAATGTGAGTTATTTTTTAGTTTTTTTGATGATAGTGTCGCGGCATAACGTCTACCCTGCGTATAGGGTAGAGTAGTTTAACTGCCTGATAACTAACTGTGTTTCTACAACATTGCCATTATCTTAGTTTCGCGTAGTTACCGAGAGATAAACAGAGACATTTATTTCGTTCTTGCCTGTAAATTATCACGCAAAGCCCTTTTGAAAACCCTGTTTATTTATTGCGCAATTATTGACCAGAATTAATTTTAAATTTTAATAATGACTTTCGCTTTTATGGTTTAACTTAAATTTTTACTAGTTACAATTTCAGGCCTTATATTACAATACTTTTTAGAAGGCTATCGAACACTTCAAGTGTTCCAATTGAATTGATTGACCAAATCGTGGAAGCACGGTAATCAAGCAAAATTAGAAGTCGTTGAACGTTAGTCATCATGATTTTTGTTGGGCAAAAATAAATTATGATCTGTCAAATTTAAACACAAATAATGAGGTTTAATATTGAAACCTGGCTTCCTAGCTTATGATATTATGCGATATTATAACCTGCCAACAGTTTACGTGAATATGTGAAGATCTTATAAGTACATAATAGAGAATAAAAACGACGTCCACATATTATTTAATATTTCGGAAACCGCTTTAGATAGATATAGGAATCGTTATGCAAAAATAATAATATCTATCTAGACAATCTAACCGTGCAATAATATTCAGGGTGTCTCATTTAAAATATTAAAGTTGTATGTACTTTTCCGTATAAGCGGCCCCCTCGCATTGCTGAAAATAATTTAGGCCGATAGAGCATAGAGCATATATGATGACTTCGTTGTACAAATTTGCAGATAGATCGGGCATCGCATTCTCCTTAAACGTCTAATACGCCATCGACCGTGAATCACCCTGTATACTGACTGATCAGGCGACCAGTCCAACACTGAGAAAATGTTCTAGGCAATTTAAGAAACAAGCTAAACTATCTTTGATAAAAAAAAGTGATTATAAATTCAAAATGCTGAATTCTCGTGACTCAAAAACGACAAATTTCACGAACCAAAAAACAAATTGGCGAAAGAGCGGCAAAATGAAATAAACAGCAAGGTGCAATAAATAATTAACAGTTGGCAGTCCCACACCCAATATGACAAATATTGTAGGGAACAATCAACAAATTGATGAGAATTAAGTTGAAATTGAACAGATGATTGAATTGAAAATTAAATAAGGTTACGTAATAGCTGAAAGGATAACTATCGATGTCACAATTTAAATTAACATAAAAAACGATCCTTTCAATCAATTGCCCATGTTAAATCGGTTTCGCTATGTGGATGAAGTTTTTGCTATCATTGAGGGAGATGATGTGTTGGCTCTGAACACATTGAACTATCTTAATAACATCAACACCGGCCAACAGTTCACAATGGAGCTTCAAGTCCACAATAATCTTAACTTTATACGCCTACTAATATCAATTAATAAACATAGGTAGGCCCATGATATTTTTTGAAACCCAAGTCCAACTGACCACTTAATCAATTCTGATTCTGCTACAATACATTTCGTACAAACACTACGAGCCTTAATCAAAAAATAATTCTAGGCACCAATTATCATAAAGCTTTAGAACAACTGAAAAATGCGATCCGCCAGAAAAACAAAATTAAAACCAAGGTACCTATTTGCTTAAAGAATAGACTTTGTGTTTGAAAATATCCCAAAAATAGGGTACACAATTTAATGGGTCACCATTTTTGAAAATATCTGTTTGATCTCAAGTCTAAAAACGCATCCTTAACCCATTATTTGATCTTACATATTTTGGGTACATTTACTGACACATTGGGTACACACATTTGACTGAGTTTTGGCCCCGGGCTTACAGTACAAGCTACATAAACTTAGTACTGGAGGTACTTTACAACGACGGTTTTTTTCTATATTTACATGAGCAAGAGTGCTCAGACTTCACCACTACTACCTCTGCTTTACAACATTTATTGTCATTGTATCACAAGTCGCATGAAATCACAATTACAACAGACACGACCAAGTAGGTATAAACCAAAAATCTTAATTACTGCAGTATCTTGATGACTCTAACCGTATATACAGGGTGTTTTTTTTTATCTTGAAACACTTAAATATTTCGGAAACGAGTGATCCGAGGAAAAAAGGTTTCAAATAAGAAGTTAATATTTGGGAGGGGGAAGTTTCTTCGTGTCAGAAAAACAACGCCTACTTCGACCTTGTAGCCTATGCAGCCAACTTGAGAATTTCAAATGGTAACCACAAAATTTTACTGGAGGTTCTAGTAGTACGTCAAAAAGTGAGAATAATTTATCTGAATTTTCTTTGAAATGTTAATGTTGTCGATTGTAAATTTTTACCTTCAAAACAGTATGGCAAATTATGTTAATGATTTCACTGTTTAATTACGTGAGGATTCCACGACGGCGATATGAAACTCCATCAAGAAAAATCCAAATCTTAGTGCAGGATCAAAGTTCAGGAAAATGTTCCAAAAAGTTTGTAACGGTTAAAAATGAATTTAGCTAGCTGTCCACCTGTCTGCTAACCCGTTGGCAAATTTAAGTAGTTATAAGTTATAATTGTAATAAGCTTTTCTTTTCAACCGATATTTATTTGCAATTTGGTTTTAGCAATTTTGCTTGTCAGGTTAGGTTAACAATGTTTCAAGAATTATTTATATTTTACTGTTTAGATATTTGTATCTCGCTCCCAAATTTAAGCAGTCTTTATCATGGTTTTGTCTGGCTAGGAGGTTGTTTCCCCCCTTTTGCGGACCACCGTTATTGAATGGAAGGGACGAAGAATGGATCCAGAAAGGTGACCCAGCGAAGGGCAATCAAGTATAAACCATAGTCGAGCAGAGTCTATCACTCTTCCCAGCTCAACCATCACCTTGACCACCGAGACCGCCATCTTTCTGCTGTCTGTTGTAGATCTTGCCCGCCTACTTGAAATCCGGTCGTAGGGCTATCTGGTTCCCGACTGGGGATTTTGAACCACGATATTGGAGAATTGGATAACCTGGGACAGCCTGGATGAAACCTGGATCTGACACGTAGACATCAACAGCACGTGTCGGCGACTTCCTAGACTAGCTGATGTTTGGGGCGAAACGGTTAGCAGACGGTAGCTTGTGGTCGTCAAACCACGTGTTTCTTAATAGTTTTTTTGTGTAAGCTTAAATAATATATCAATCAGGTCTTCAGTAGATATTTTGGCAGCATGCCACTGTTGAGCGTTCTAGCTTTGCTGCGAAACCTAGTGGCGCTTCAACGGATCCACCCTTCAAGCTTTGCACACGATCGCCCAAAATACCTGCTTAAAGGAAAGCTTTTTTCTTCTTCTCGTTATTAAATTTAGATCTATGTATACCTCAAAACTATTGTCATCATGAATAATGTAAATCTATAAACTTTCTAGACCTAACAATCAATTATGATAACAACGGGGAAATCAAAACAAATTGGTACACAAAACAGGTATGGTCTGGTAGGTACCTGAATTATCAATCGTACGCTCCAATGAAATATAAAAAAGTGTAATAACGGCATTTACAGATAGTGCCATTAAACTGTCACATTGGGAGTATACAGGGTGATTCAAAATTGGCGTCATTCCTTTTAAGGGGTGATAGAGGCTCCCTTGGGGAGTACCAGAAAAATATAAACAA